ACGCTGCCTAGGAGTCCAACGCAGAACAGTGAGGGCAGAGATAAACCCTTTCTGGGCCTTACTTGACACACCAGGGATGCAAAATCCCATTTAAAATGTGAACCAGTTAAACCATATATTTAATCGGTTACCCATCTCGCCATGTCACGCCGCAGGTGGGGGGGGGCTACTCCAGCCAGGTCAGGCCAACTCTGCCACGCCATGCCTCGGGCAGGGGGCTGCTTTGCCCAGGCCGGGCCCACAAACCCTTTCTGGGCCTTACTTGACACACCAGGGATGCAAAATCCCATTTAAAATGTGAACCAGTTAAACCATATATTTAATCGGTTACCCATCTCGCCATGTCACGCCGCAGGTGGGGGGGGGCTACTCCAGCCAGGTCAGGCCAACTCTGCCACGCCATGCCTCGGGCAGGGGGCTGCTTTGCCCAGGCCGGGCCCACCGTACCGCACTACAGGTGGTGGCTGCTCCAGCCAAAATGGGTGCCGGTTAACCAGTTACCCCTTGACATCCCTATTACACAGGCAACTTTGTTTTCTGGGTTGAATTCACTATGTATCTTAAACCTATTAATGGGAGCTCCGTGGCCGGAGAGGAGACTGAGTTTTAATACAGCTACATGCAAAGGTAAACCTCTAGCCACGAGGCACGTAGGCCATGCCTTGGGAACGGGGGACTGTGGAAAGCGGGGGCTGTGAAAAGGATTCAGGGGTCGGAATGGACAAGCAATTGAATGTGAAGACCCAGTGCGAGTCTGCAGCAAAAAGAGCTAATGTGAGCACATTGGATGTGCAGACAGAGAACAGCGAGTGCAAGGAGGCGGCGATTTTACCTCTGAGTATGGCCCTGGTGAGATCAGTGCTGCATTACTGTGCCCAGGCCTGGTCTCTGTATTTTGGAAGGCTGTTGGAAAGCTGGCAAGGGTACACAGTGATTTGGGGAATGCAGAACATGCCTTACAGGGAGCGACAGAGTTCAGCTTAGCCAAAAGAAGATGAAGAGGTGACTATTACATGGTCTAAGGACCTTCACTGGGAGAAAATACCAGGCCCCAAAGGGCTCTTGAATCTAGCAGAGAACAGCAGGATAAGGCCCAGTGGTTGGAAGCTGGAGCCAGATGAATTCCATGAGAAACATGGCACACGTTTGTAAAAATGCAGGTGATCAACCTTTGGAACAAACTACCCAGGTGAGTGGTGGATTCCCCATCTCCTGATATCTTTAGTCCCCACTGGCTGCCTCGCTGGAAATGCGTTAGCCAGACAAGTCTCAGAGGGGGAGCTGCGTTAGTCTGTAACTTTAAAAAAAAAGAGTGGTGCTGTAACATCTTAGATGAACCAAACATGTAGATGGTATCATGAGCTTTCGTGGGCACAGCCCACTTCTTCAGAGGAGTGGAGCAAAAGGGAAAGCAACCCCAAATTTGAAGCACAAATAGAGGGGAGAAGGGGGAGAGAAAAAACCCACCTTGTCAATTATAGCACCTATGCTAAATGAGACTAATAGAGTGACTTCCCCCAAAGTTTTGGCCTAAAGAGAAATGTGATGTTCTACATTAGAGAGAGATTCTGATCCATTTCCTGCTTTGTGCAAAACTTGTTGAAGTAACTGGGAGCCAACCCAGCCCAGACAGGCTGCCGAGAGCGAATACAGACAAGAGCCCCAGCTGTGTCAGAAGTGCCACGGTAAGAACAATATTTACTGAGCACAAAGGTGGGGGGCAGAAATTGGATCACTAGCCAGGTCGCTGGCTGCAGAAACGAGCCAGCAAGGCGAGCTACAGTTTGCATAGTGCTGGGAAGATGTCCCAGGTGAAGTATTATGATTATCACAGATCAAAGACGGGCCACTTCTGACGACTACCCAGAACAGCAGCATATTAACAACAGTCACATCAGACCAAGGCATCATCTCATTGGCTCACATTTTAGGGGCTTTTTACTTTGCTATTTTCCTCTGCCAAAAAGCGCTTGCTAAAAGCTGCACAGAAGCCTGGTTTTAAACCTCCTTCGCCCACTGAGTTCTGTCCGTCCATCAGGACTCAAGGAGCATGCACGCTCGCTCTGGGAAAACGCCATTTCATTTGAAAATGGAATAGTCACACTAGAAAGAAGGCACAGATCTGCCAGGGAAGAGGAAAGCCCAGCAGGCAGCCAAGCGAGATGCAGAGAAGAGGGAAACATGATTAAAGTGGTGGTGGTGGGGGAGATGGGCAGGTGCACGGTGGATGGAATGGAACAGGGGAGAGGAGAGAAACGGGTGGGTGCAGACGTCTTTGCTCTGTGTATATTCAGCGCCTGACGCCATGACCTGAACTGCCAGGCACTCCGCAACACACACAAAGCCAAAGGGGCCGTTGCGCGGGGTACCAGAGCACAGATGAATTTGGTAGAGGGGAAAGAGGAAGGAACAAGTTTCCAAATACGCAATAGTGGGATTTAGGAAGGGCCTGGATGGGAAGAGAAAACCCCTCAGACCTGACTCCAACGTTGCAAGCTTTGGCCCTGGGAAGGGAAGCGAGGCTGCCAATGGAGACATGGAGGGGAGGAAGAATACTGGGCTGGGTTTTTGCCACACTGCCAGTCCTGTAGCTGTGTGGCAAAGGAGTCCAAGTGCCAACCTGCTGCTCTTTTTAAACATCCCTGGCCCCCATCCCTGGTTCCCAGCACGAGGTCTGCTGGACTAACTGCTCCCCGCTGAGCCGACCTGTGGAGAGCACACACGGTGCCACGGGGAACGAGGCCAACTTGCCACAGGTAAAAGGTGCCACCTCAGAGCATCATGTAACCAGCTGAGAGTCGTCCTCCACCCAGGGGCATGCCTGGATCAGCCTCACTAGCCACTGCCCTCGCCACAGCTCGCTCTGCGGTGTCCCGCTGCCTCGGCTGGACAACTGCGTGTGGTGTCTTCCTCCGGCCCTGCGCGGCAGCCACCTCCCGCCTCCGCGCCTGACTCCTGCCCAGCCGCACCCCCAATGTCTGAACGCCCTGGGGACCTGGCCTAGCAAGTCCACTTGGAATTCTGGGATGAATCCAGCGTGGATCAGGCTGGCAGGAAGAGGGACGAGGTGAGCTCACGGCTCTTCTGTCGCTGCTTCCCTGCAGATGTGCCCAGGTTGCCCCGTGGACCAAGCACCCTCCGTGTTGAGCTCCTTGGACTGCTCCTGCCACTCCAGCTGCTCCTAGGGTATCACCAGCCAAACACTTGCCTTGGCCAGCAGACGAGACGCCCCTTCCCCTGCGATGTGCCAGACACCCCAAGGTGCCAGGGAAAGCGCCAGCCGTTGGCTGAAAGCAGCCCACCCCGCTAGACTTCTAGCCCCTCCTCAGCGCACAGAGCGGCCGGGGCCGGGAGCAGATCCGTGGGTGAACATCCAGCCACGATGCGATTCATGGCTCTCGTCATTGCAGGTCGATACAGCTCAGTGCAGACATCAGGAGAGTGGCTATGTCGAGGGCACTTGCCACGCCGGCATGCCCGATCCGGAGACACCAGCCCACAGGACGACCGATGCTGATCTAAACCCAACACACCCACCACTCAAGCCACTACCGAGCCAGTGACACGAAAGGTCCCACAATGCAAGGCTGGCTGCCCAGGCACCACCTCCACAATAAAACAGGGGAAGGCTCCATTCTCCCGCTTCATCCAGACAAATCGGGGGCAGCCTGTGGGCACCAGACAGTCTGCCAGTGCAGCTGCCCACGGGGCACGTGGGGCAAACATCTTTACCCAGCACATTTTTTCTGTCAATGATACAAACGGGGGCCATAGACTTACAATCTGCTTCTGTTTTAAAGGCTTCACAGAGAAGCTGCCGTCCACGTGCTGTGGGGGGAAAAGAGAGAGAGGGGGTTAGACCAACTCGGTGGAAACAGCCACCACCACCACCACCATGCAAAGAACTCGGTGCAGAGCAGCCTGCTCACCCCAGCTCCCGGGTGCGGCTTCCCCGGGGAGACAGCCTGTCAGTGCTGCACAGGACGGGTCCTCTGTCACCGTCACTGGGCGCACTACAGGAACATGAGCCTCATCCCACAAGGACGCCGAGCTCTGCTTTTCCCAGCACTTGCCAGGCACCCGGAGCACGTGGCTGGGAGTCAGACCGGACTTGCAGATGGTCCCCACCTGCTCCCGCGAACGTGACTGCAAACCTAGTTCCTGCTGCCGCGCCAACAGGCCGCACTGGCCTGACTGCAAATCCCAGACCAGAACAGCGTCACCTGCAGCCACGCAGCACATGACCGCTCAGCCACCGCCGGGCTCAGCGCTCGGACTGCGTCATCGAGGCCACATGTGTTCCAAAGCTACCATCCACCAGGGTGGGGAGGGGAGATGCAGCCTTTCCTGTGGGGAAGCAGCCATGGTGGGGAAGGGCTGTCTGGGAGTTTGCCCTCCGAGGATCAAGTTCCGCGGGCTGAGAACACAAGCCAAAGGGTTGCTGTGAAGTCAGGAGGGGTCTGCTGGTGGGAGCGTAGCCTTACCCAGGGCCTGGGTTATTGCAAGTACAGCGTCCTGCAGTGTGTGGCGGGAGTAAGAGTCTCCAGAGCCCTAGCGACAAGAGGAAATACACCCCCCCCTTCCCTGCGGAGCTTCCCACAGCTTGTGTGGTCTCTTCACAGACCTACAGGGGAGGAAGCAATCCAAGCGAACAGGGACCATTGACGCCGGCACTCCCCAAAGCAGGACGCCGGAAGCACTGGCAGTAACTCCCGTCCTGCTGTGGGGGAGCGCAGCACAGAAAAGGGGCTGTGATTACCAGGGGAGGACGGCTCCCTCCACTGAAAAGCGGAAGCCAATGAAACAACCCCGAGATTGTGTTTTTTAACCAAAGTTGTTTTCACATTGGCCTGTTGCCTCACAAGCAAACCACAGCAGTAATGCAGTGAGATGGACTCTTCTTTTCAACCAAGACCCTGAAAACCAGCCACTCCTCTGGGCCTCCAGCAGCAAGCTCTGGGTATCAACTGCATATTGATGAGACCCGGACACAGGAAGGTGCAGGGGCCAGAGAATGATAAACCCGTCACGGACCGCCATGCCTTGCTGGGGGCTACCCCCGCACAAGTGGCTGTTCTCGTGTGATTCCTACACCGCGCCTGTAGCGCCAGGAGAGACATCCCGCTACTGGGGTCGTATCCAAAACGGGATGTTGGCCTAGTGATGTCTCTCTAACAGGTGATTTCCTGGTTTTTGAAGCTGCCGCTACATTGCAGCAGCTACTGCCTTATGCGTGTTGTATTGCACCACAGTCCATGAAAGCTTATGCCCAAATAAATCTCAGTGGGGTTGCCGGGTTAGTCTGTAACTTTAAAAACTAGTAGTCATCAAGTGGCACCTTAGAGACTAACAAAATATATAGACTCTTGAGCTTTCCTGGGTAAAACCCATTTCAGAGGAAATGGAGCGGAAATAACAGAAACCAAGGTATAGAACTAACAGCAGAAGTACCTATCAACTGTAAGACCCGTGTTAATGAGGCTAATTAAGAGGGCTGGATGTGTCCCATTCATAGCTTTTGATGCAAAAATGAGGAGGTTAAAGGAAGGAGAAATGGCACTGAACAACAATTTTGCCAATTTCTCCTGCCTGTAACACCCGCATTTTCATATAAAAAGTTATGAATGGAACACATCCAGCCCGCTTAGTTAGCCTCATTAACACAGGTCCTACAATTGACAGGCACTTCTGCACTGTGTGTTTTACATAAAAAAAACCAAACTCTTGGTTTCTGTAATTTTCACTCCAAGTCATCTGATGAAGTGGATTTTACCCAGGAAAGCTCATGATTCTATATATTTCTGTTAGTCTCTAAGATCCCAAACAAATCTGTTAGCCATTAAGGTGTCCAAGGACTCCTTGTTGCTTCTGCAGATACAGACTAACACAGCTCCCCCTCTGATACTGTAATGCATGGAAAATAACCCAAGACAAAGGGGGTACCTGTCCCTGGGATTAGACTCCGACCAGAGGCAGGGTTCTCTCGGCAGTGCCTTTGCTGTCCCTGATCTCCCTCTCCCCCCACAACACGACACTGGGGTCTGACTACCCTACAGGATGACTCTGCTGTTCTGTGTTCGCATGAACAGTCAGATGCTACAAAGATGGGCCCCATCTAGGAACTGGCCTGTCGAGAAAGGAGCTAAAAAGTCCTGCAAACCCAAGCGTGTCCTACTTGGTAATTCAGACATTTCACCAGTTTCTATCCTGCCACTTAACGACACCCGAGCCCCATCCGTTTAGGAGGCTGTGTCTGATTTCTGGCAGCGTGTCTCTCAATGCTCGGTTGAGAAGGCGCTCACCTCCCGTCACCCGACAGCCCCCCGCCTCTGCTACCACCTCAGTGCCTGGGCGTGTGAGATTCAATGCAACCTGCTGAGTGAGCTTGGAAGTAGGAGCTTTTTAAAAACCTGCAAAACAATTAACAGCTCGACAAGTACATTTCCGGACGCAGAAGCAAAAGGTGAGAAAATCAGTGCGGGCTGGCAAGAAGAATGGATGTGAATGGGCGAACGTACCAGGGGTATGGCAGCAGGAGGGGAGCCCATGCAGTGGGTCCAGATTCCCTATCCTCCTGGGTCTCCACCCTCCGTCCCACACTGGGCTCTGTGCTGAAGGCAGGGGCTGCGGTGCAGCCAGGAGACAGCCAAGTCTGGCAGTCAGGACCTGCCAAGGAAATCTGCCCATGCCCAGGAGCGGGCTGCATCCGGGGGGAGAGGGGAGGAGGACACATGGCTGGCAAGCACAGAGCAGGTGGGGAATGGAGAGGACACTCAGTCCTTGTGCTCAACCATGCGTCAGTGGCCCAGGCCCAGGCGGGATTCTGAGATCTGTCAGGCACCTTGCTCAGCTCTGGGAATGTCAGGGAGCCGGGTGTCTCCAGCTGGCAGGCAGGCGTGGCATGCTTCCCCGGCAGCTGAAGCCCCCTGGACCACCACCCTTACAATAGCTGGAGATCGTGGAGAATGACGGGTTCAGACCCCCCCCAAAGAGTCATCAAGACATAAGAACGGCCAGGCTGGGTCAGACCAAAGGTCCGTCTAGCCCAGGAGCCTGGTTCCCCACCGTGATCAATGCCGGGGCCCTGAGGGAGTGAACACAACAGGGAGCCATCAAGCGGCTCCCAGTCCCAGCTCCTGGCAAACAGCCTAGACCAGTGGTTCCCAGCTTGGGGTCTGCAGACCCCCGGTGGCTCGCGACGGTACTGCAGGGGGTCCGTGGAAAGTTTAAAATAAAGATCGGGCCCACTCTAGTGAGCCGATCCTCCTTTTTCTTTCCTTTTCTCACCCCCAGGAGGGGGAGGGGGTCTGTGAAATTTTAACAGATTGAACAGGAGCCCGTATGCTCAAAAAGGTGGGGAACCACTGGCCTAGGGACACCGTTCCTGCCCATCCTGGCTAATCGCCATTGATGGACCTGTGCTCCGTGTATTCATCTAGCTCTATATCTACCCTGTGCTCCGTGTATTCATCTAGCTCCGTATCTACCCTGTGCTCCGTGTATTCATCTAGCTCCGTATCTACCCTGTGCTCCGTGTATTCATCTAGCTCCGTATCTACCCTGTGCTCCGTGTATTCATCTAGCTCCGTATCTACCCTGTGCTCCGTGTATTCATCTACCCTGGTATAGTCTTGGCCTTCACAACATCCCCTGGCAGGCAGTTTAGCCCTTGTTTTCCGGAAGCAGGAGGCCTCAGAACCCTGAGATCCTTTCTGCCTTGGATGGAGTGTGGGCAGCCCCTGGGCCGCTTTCTGGGGAGAGATCATGGCTACATTTCTGCTCCCCCCCATGGTGCACGGGGGCTTGCTGCTGCCTCTCCCCAGTCTGTGTCACTGAGCACGCGGCGCTTTGAGCTCGCAGGCACAGACGGGGCGCTGGAAGCGGAAGCTGGTTTCTCACAGAGCTAAGAGGCCCCGTGGAACGTTGCACCTCCCGGGATCAGCCCCAGCCGAGGTGCCAACTCTCACAGCTCAGCCCCAGCAGCGCGGGGACCAGATTCCTGTAAGAAGGGCTCATTATGAAAACTGGCCACATGGTGCTACGTTCGGTGCCAGGAATGCAGAGCCAGGTTCATTTCAGGACTCCGGCTCGGGAAGCACAGGAGGCCGGGCGCCCTGCCTTGGGATGCCCACACGGACAGCGACGAGACACGGCCCACCTCTCCACTGGCCTGCGTACAACGACACCAGCAGCGGATTCAGTGCCAGCCATGCAGGCATGAAGGCAGCAGCAAGGGGAGTAGCAAAGGGCCTTTGGGGGGCAGGGGATGGGCAATGCTCCTGCACCGTGCCAAGTCACTCACATGGAACAAGGACCTGATCCTTCCCATATTCTCACCACCACAGTCCCAAAGGGTCCACTAGGGAACCTCCCCTCCACCACCAAACAGCCTGGCTCTGACCCTGCCACATGCTCCAGTGCTGGTCCTGCTCTCTCCTGAGTAACAGCCATGGAGGGGCAGCTCTCCGGGGTGAGAGCTAGTTTGCTCTTCCTGCCTCCAGGGGAATGTCGTTTCCCTTGTCCTAGTGCCAGAGGGCACCCCAGTCGGGCTCTCACTCCCTCACCTCCCCAGCAGGTCAAAGAGAGACTTTTCAGCCATATCCACGGTCAGCAAACACCATATAGGAATAAGCTGCCAAACAGAGGTTTCCCCCAGCCCCACTGATTAGCCCCCACCCCTCCCTTTGAGGAAGATGGGAAATCTGGGGCAGGAAGGTCATGCGACTTGGGCAAGGTCCCCGCAAGCCCTGAGCAGCACCAGGCTTAGCCCACCGACCTTGCTGCACTCGGGGCACTAGTCCATGGCGGCGAAGAAACGCTGCCCCTGAATCGCTCCCCCAGCCCAGCTCGCACCACCCAGACAACTGCCCTTCCTGAGGAACCTTTGGGCAGTCCCTCCACGCCGCCACCCCAACAGCTGCAGCATGGAGCTGCTCTGCCGGCTGCAGCAGCTGCAATCAATGCAAGGGCCTGTCCCTGCAGCAGAATTCCCTGCTTCACGGGACTGGAACTGAACCCGGGTTAGGCCTGCCCTGTGGGCGGGACCAAGCTCCTATCACCATGTTTCCAAACTCAGCGAGCGCCCAGTCTTCGCGTACCCCCGGCCCCAGTCTGCACGCGATCTGGTCTCAGCCACACAGCTGAGATCAAACCGTCACACAGCAGAGGCCACGCTGCGGACACACTGTCAGGCTCTGACCATTCTACCAGACAGCCTGCCTGTGTATAACCACCACACTTACACACTCCGGAGGCTGGAAGGTTTCCAGTCCAGGAGCCTGCAAGTGGCTGCTTGACCACCGCAAGGCTGAGTCCCGAATACAACTGGGGGGGTAGGGAGGGGTGGACAGATGTTGCCTATTAGGGTAGCACTGGAGAGTCCCAGCCGGGGACCAGGAGCCGGCAGTGCTAGGAGCTGTACAAGCGATGGACTTCCTGTCCAGGGGGCTGCGTGGACACAGAGGAAAGGGCAGGGCTCATTTACCTTTTCAAATGCAGCCAGGAGAACGTGAGCGTGGCCCGTAACTTCAACCACTACTGGAAGGAGAGAACAACACGGGTTAAAACCTCGAACGAGGCCGGCACTTCCCAGCCCCTCCTCCCCCCAGAGGGAACAGAATGGGAGTTATGCGCCTCCCTGCCATTGGGGGGGACGGGAGGGAGCCATGAAATCTCTCCTATTGCCCCGTGAGGCCAATCGTCTTGGCTTGGCGTGTGCTGGGGAGGAGGGATTCAGCGTGAGGAACGAGACAGCTCAGGTTATGACTGGGAATCCAGCTGTTGACAATCCCATCCCATTTCCCACTTTCATTGGCTCGTGCTGCATTTTAATCCCACTCTGCAGCGCCTACGAGCTCTCCCAGCGACGCTGCCCAGGGATTCAATCAGTGGCTGCGCCCCGGGGCCGCTGGAGGATGGTTTCGTTCCCTTGCCCCGTCTCTCCTCTTGCCCCAAAACAGGTATCAGGTTTGGCCCCATCCCACCTGGAAGCCTCCTCATTTTTCCAGGAGTAACCAGCTGAGCTTCCTGCCCTGCACACGTGGCTCCTCCGACGCTCAGGAGCCAGGCAAAACCAGTGTGTTTTAGGAATCAGGCTCACGATTCCAGCACTGACACGGATTCCCGTAACCTCTTCACCTTGACGCCTGGGTTTTCCCCAATGACAACTGGGGAGAACGCAGCCCGGCCAAGCAATCAAGGCACGTGGAGGAGCCGCGAGGTCAAGTGTTTATCGGCCTTTGGTTCCACACGTTGGCTGGCTAGGGACGCTGGGATGGCTTTGAATGACCAGTCAGCTCCCAGGGCAGCCATGGCCAAAAGAAATGACTCCCTCAGCTCACAGGGAAGGGAGCTTCATACTTCCTGTGCCACCCCATTGGTCGGATTCTGGCATAAAAGGGTCACCCGCGAGGAGGGAACCTGTGGACTCTGTCAGAGTGACCCCGGGCAGGCACCAAATGCTCCCAAAGCGTCTTCGCAGGCAAAGTACAGCCAGCAAATGTAAGAGCGTGAGGGAGACCAAGGGGCTGAGCCCCTCCCTGCCCTCAGAGTGGGGGAAACGAGTCCCAGGGGACTCTCCTGCCAACAGGCCAGTGTAAATTAGGATCTGGGCTGAAGTTAACGCCATTGCTCTCAGCAGCCGTTCAAACACCAAGATAGAGACACAAGGACCCAAAGGGGAATGAGGCTTGTTCGTTCAGGCAGCTGGCATGGCCAGAACTAGACTGTCACATTTTGCACAGACTTGCCCCTCCCTGAACGCTTTTAAACTGGGATGGACCTGGACCTGCTCTGTATTCTCAGCTCTGCGCAGAAAGCTCGCACCGTCGGGCAGCTCTCGGACTGACGGCACTTCTCATCTGCTGTTACATTTCATTGAATGCGCTTGCCTGCAACTGCGCAGGCGATCAGAACGCTTATGGCTGGCTCTCCCCCGTTAAAAGGAAAGAGACGGGCCCATCAGAGTCTCTCAGATCCCGCTGAAGTATCAGCTACTTGTGTGCGTTGATATTTTTGCCAGGAAGGGATTTAAAAACAAACGCTCATCTAGGTTATTAGGACTAGGGATGCAAATGGTTAACTAATACCCATCATTCTGATGGGGGTGATGCACACGGTTAACCGGTGGGGGCCACTCCAGGCTGACTTGGACCAGCCTGGGCCGGACAGGGGGCCATTCCAACCCAGCCATGGCCAGGAGGGCCCTGCCCACCCGTTTAATGTGTTAACCCCGTGTTTCTCAAACTGTTGGTCCTGACCCCACTCCCCTGGGGGAGGTCGTAAGCAACTTCGAGGGGGTTGCAGTATCACAAAGTTTGAGAACCCCTGGATTAGCCAATTAAACAGGACTTTACATCCTTAATCAGGACGGATTTACAGAGTTTATTAAATCAACGGGAGTGCAGCACAGAAGTCTATTCTCAAAGCAAACCCCAGACATAATGAGGCACTTTTACATCAAAGAAAATCAAATTTCTTTACGCGTCTCACGAACAGCACCAGAGATTACAGCAACGGCCAACATTTTACAATGCCTTTTCTTCACGCCACATTATGCCTTATCGCTCAACTTGACGTTGGTTCATTATCTTGGGATTTTTCTCCCCTCGTTTTCCTTGCCATCCATTTCTAGGCAGTTTCCCATTTGGGGCTGTCATGCCCTAGCACAATGCTACAATGTTTGGGCTAGAAATAGAGTAATGCTCAATAATCAGTTGGTCTCCAGCTTTGGAAGAGTTTCCAAACAAGCTATGGTGAAATCGTGGCCCCACTGATTAACATGGAAAGGACTGGCTGAGGGGAAAGTTGACCTAAGTGTGTCCATTAACGGCTGGCAATCAGAAGGACGGAGACAGACACACACAGTGTGCAGAGAAACAAACCTCTGCAGTAGGAACGGCAGTCTAGATACTATATCCGTTAGCCAGCCCTGCTTTAAAAAGAAAAGCAACGGATGGAGGCTCAAGTCACATTCCTGGAACATTTGAAACACAAGGAGTCTTTAAGCTCCACCCTTAGGTGTTTGACAGTAGCCCCCCTATGGCTATGTCCACACTGCAAGCCAGGGGCATGAGTCCCATGCCTGCATACACGACCTCATGCCTGAGCCAAGAAGGGTACAAATAGCAGGGTAGCGACAGCAGAGGCATGTCTGAGTTGTGCTGGCCCTGAACCCTCCTGACCCTGGTGGGTACGTCCTTGGCACGGCTCAGCCATGCGCCTGCCGAAACTGCCCATGCTACTGTGGCCACACTGCTCTTCATGCTCGCGGTAGCTCGCAGAGAGCTAGCATCTGCGACAGGGACTCAGCCCGAGCTCACAATACAGACAAGGCCTCTCAGGAGCATGGCAAAACAATGGATGAAAACACATCTAGCTTACCGTCCCCTTCATCCACTACGGCTTGGATCACCACAGGGAACACACCACGGTCCAAATCGAAGTTCAGCTGAGAGGAAAGAAAACAGGGTTTCAACACGGCCTACGTCACGCCAGCATCCAAACAGGTGTAAAAGAAAGGCTCCGGGATGGGGGCAGGCCCCGGGATAGCGGCTGAATCCATCCGCCCACCAGAGAAAACGTGTGTCTTCCAGAGGGAAGCAATATCATGGAGGTGGTGATTACACAGGAAAAAACAGCGAGCAGACCAAGGAACCACAGCAATTTGGATTCACACAGTATTCGCTTCCTGCCAATTCACATATCCAAAGGAGCCCGTGTGTGATTTCCAGCTGCACAGTGTACCTCATGCTACTAGTGCTGCATCGGAACGGGAGGCTACTGTAGTAGTATTCTGTATGTAGTGTGGCAGATTTTGCTTCCTACTTTTTTTTCTTCACTCAGCGCACAACCTGTGGAACTCCTTGCCAAAGGATGTGGTGAAGGCTAGGACTTGAACAGGATTAAAAAAAAGAGCTAGATAGATTCATGGAAGTTAGGTCCATCAATGGCTATTAGCCAGGTTGGGTAGGAATGGTGTCCATAGCCTGTTTGTCTGGAAATGGGTGACAGGGTTGGGATCACGTGAGGATTCCCTATTGTGTTCCCTTCCTCTGGGGCAGTGGTCACCAACCAGTAGATCCGGAATTGTGGGCGGGGGGTGGAGGGAGTTTGCTGGCTGCTTTTAGAAGCGATGCACCTGCCTTAGCCCCACTGCAGCCACCACCCAGAAGCCACCTGAGATAAGCAGTGTCTAGCTGGAGCCAGCTCCGAGCCCCTGACCCAGTCATGTACCCCTCCTGCATCCCCTGCCCCAGCCCTGAGCCCCTTGAACCCAAACTCCCTTACAGAGCCTGTACCCCGACCCCCCTCCTGTACCCCAACTCCCTGCCCCAGGCTCAGCTCCGAGCTCCCTCACACTCCAAATCCCTCAGCCCAAGACCAGAGCCTGTGCCCTGATCCTCTGCCCCTGCCTGGTGAAAGGAGGGAGGATGGAGTGAGCAGGGCAGGACCTCAGAGAAGAGGTACGAAGGAGGTGGGGCGAGGGTATTTGGGTCTGAGGTAGGTCCTGGATTGCACTTCAATTGAAAAAGCGATCTTGTACTTAAAAAGGTTGAGACCCCTGCTCCAGGGCACCTGGCATTGGCCACTGTCGGCAGACAGGACACTGGGCTGGACGGGCCTTTGGTCGGACCCCATCTGGCCGCTCTTGTGTTTCTACAAACTAAGAATCACAAACTAAAATGAGTCAAAAGCGAAAGGCTCTTGCAAAACTAGCAAACGTCATTCGGGGACGTATTGGCGGGCGTGTTGCGAGCAGGACGTGAGATGTCATTCCTCCACTCTACTCCGTGCTCCGCTGGAGGACGGCGTCCAGTCCTGGGCACTGCGCTTCAGGAAAGATGGGGACAAATGGAGGGGAATCCAGAGGAGCGAGCCAACAATCATTCAAAGGCTAGAAAACGTGAGGTGCGAAGAGCAATTGAAAAAACAGGGCTTGTTTAGTCTGGGGAAGGCAGGGAAGGGAGACAGAACCGTTTTCAGTAACAGGAAAGTGAAATTATTATTTTTGTCCACCGAGGACAGGACAAGCCATGGGCTTAAAATGCAGCCAGGGAGGTTTGGGTTGGCCTTTAGGAAAAACTTCCTGCCTGCCAGGGCAGTTAAGCACTGGAACAAAACGCCTAAGGAGGTTGTGGAATTTCAGTCAGTGGAGGTTTTTAAGAACAATTAGACAAACACCTGTTAGGGATGGGCTATCATGGGTTCCCAAACGGGGGCGTGAAGAAATTCCGGGGAGGGGGGGGCCGCGAGGCAAAGCGCCCCCCCCCCCCCCCCCCCCCCCCCGTCAATCTCACCCCAACTTTTGCTGCTATTTTTTGGGTTTCTCAAAAATCAAAAGGGGGGGTGTGACGCCAAAACGTTTGGAAATAACCCTTAGTCCTGCCTCAGAGAGCGCCTATGGAAGCCCTTCCAGTCCTGCAGTTCTGTGATTGGCTGACCGCAGGGAGGCCCTACGTGTAGCGTACAGCTTTTGCTCCCTGCTTTGTACCTCAGCACAGTAACGGCAGGCTACGTGGGAATGAACCACCCTGCCCATGCCATAAGAGTAACTCGCGGGGCCACACGCAGGACGTGACAGCGGATTAGCTCACAGCAGCAGCTCAGTAAAATGGCAAGCTGGCATAGCCCTTCCGCCTGAACGCAGCGCCCCCCGGGAACACAGCGCATGGGTTTTCCTCTCCTGCCATGTGGGAGCAGAGAAGGGTCAGAAACATGAATTTCAAAGCAACAGCAGGCAGGGGCAATTGCAAGTCTCACGTGGACGCGCATGGCGTAGGCCCCAAAGCTCCTATTGCCTGAATGCCACATCGCACTTTACGAATCTCGTCAATCACAGACAACAGACCCTTAGAGGATTATCAGCTGCCAGGAGCGGCGGTGGCTCAGGATTCTTTTCCTGAGTCACCTGGAACTCCTGCCTCGGTTTCCCTGCTACAACGTGCGAACACGGCTAAAGAACTCCACTGGCTACGCGGCGTCTCTCGTGCTCAGCACCAGCTCCAAGGAGCTGTGCAGCGTGAGAAGGCACCTGCCTGGGGGAGGGCAAGAAACCCAGCCCCTGCGGTTCTCCAGGCTGGGGTGCCCCACATGCTACCTCTGGGCTCCTCATGGGCAAGAAAGAAGAGCCCATTGGCTAAAGATGGGGCTTCGTGAGGAACAGGAGATTGAGTTTAGGGATGTAAAATCCCATTTCATCAGTTTGCTGCTCGAACATTATCTTTAACTGGTTAACCGCTTAAACGGGGGGCAGATGGGAGCACCCACCTGGGTGCTCCAGCTGGGCCTGCCACAGGTGGGGGGCTGTTCCAGCCCCTGCTGGGAACCCT